CGCGCCCGTCTGCCCCTAGGCAGCCGCGCCGGGGCCCGGGCTGCGCGCGCCCTGCAGCGGCCAAGGACAAAGAGAAAAAACAGAGGAAAAGAAAACAAAAAGACAAAAAAAAAAGGAAAAACAAGCCTGGTTTGGTTCACTTCAAGAACAAGGCCTTTAAATAACTGCATCAGTCACCGGCGTTGAAGCAAGAGCTTCAAAGCATGGACTGCAACATGGGTCTTGGGGCGTTTGGGTTATTTTTGGTTTGGTTTGGTTTTTTTTAAGCTTTGATCCTACAAGCCTCATGGATTCCCAGCGTACCCCCAGCACGAGTCCGATGTTTACATCCTGGAAACACACGGAGGCAACAAGATCCCAGGAACCCCTGGAGCAGGGATCTTCCGCACGGAGCAGGGATCCGCCGCACCCAGCAGGGATCTTCTGCATGGATCAGGGATCTTCTGCATGGAGCAGGGATCTTCTGCATGGAGCAGGGATCTTCTGCATGGAGCAAAGATCTTCTGCACAGAGAGGGATCTTCCACACGGAGCAGGGATCTTCCGCACGAAGCAAGGATCTTCTGCATGGAGCAGGGATCTGCGTGGAGCAAGGATCTTCCGCACAGAGCAGGGATCTTCCACACGGAGCAAGGATCTTCTGCACGGAGCAGGGATCTTCCACATGCAGCAGGGATATTCTGCACTGAGCAGGGATCTGCATGGAACAAGGATCTTCTGCACGGAGCAGGGATCTTCCACATGCAGCAGGGATATTCTGCACTGAGCAGGGATCTGCATGGAACAAGGATCTTCTGCACGGAGCAGGGATCTTCCACGCGGAGCAGGGATCTTCTGCACGGAGCAAGGATCTTCTGCACGGAGCAGGGATCTTCCACATGCAGCAGGGATATTCTGCACCCTGGGCCGCGCCGGGACTGCGGAGGAGCTACCAAAGAGCCCGCGCGGGGCGAGAGCTCCCGCAGCAGCACGGGCCGCCCCGCGGCGCCGCTGACCCCGTTTGCCTCCCCTCGGCCCGCTTTGCCTTTGCCCAAAGGGACAAACCTGTTCGGAGCGAGCTAACATTTTCTTTCCCCACCTGTTTCCTTCCCAGAAGTAGCAAATTAGCTCAAGGGGAGAGAGCTTCCATCAGGGAGCCCCGTTTGTCCTTATTTTGTCTCTCCGAAATGACAAGCAGCCGCGCAGCGATCTGAAACGCAGCGGTGGACGCGTCCTGTTCCCACTCCAGCAATGATATGCAAGGAATTGATGCTGCCTTCACCCTTTTTTCATACAAACCATGAAAAATTAGAGGTGAAAGCTGCCAGTTCAATGGGCGTCACAATCCTAATAATTTGCTGACAAAAAATAAAGCTCGCTTATACCCTTCCAGCCTTCAAACAGGTTTTAAGCAGCACGCGCAGGGGACAGAGTCTTGTTACGGATTCCTGCAATGGGAAAAGAGAAGCTCAGCTCAAATTTTAGCCTCCTGGCTTGCAAAACGCTGGAATTTCGAATTGTGCAACGCAGCGTTGGGGCTTCCTGCCCTCGCCCTGCTCCCGAAACGGGAATCCAGGGCCGCTGCAGGACACGGATCCCGACGGCAGAGCGCGGAGCAGAAAACCCGGGCCCGCTCCCTAAATCTCCTAAAATCCAGAGCCTTTCTGCCCCTCCTTGCTGATCCCTGCGCGTGCCGGAGAAGCAGACTTTGTGGTTTCATTACAAATTTCGAAGCTCTTAAAAACAGGTTTTTACAAGCAAGGCAAAGATACAAGCAAAGGCCCAAACTGGCTTTAACTGTCCTGGGAGTAAAACGCCAGGGGAGATCGCATCCATTTCGCTTCTCGGTAGATTTTTTTCCTTTTTACGCAAACGCTCCTAACGGCATCAGCCCCAGCGCTCCCTCTCGCTGCCGTGCCCCGGGAAGCACCTGGAATTGCCCTGCCGGATTAACCATCCTCTCCGCGCTGACCGTACATCAGCCAGGAAGCCCCAGACAACCCCGTGTCCCTGTTTGGGATTTCCGTGGGAGACACCGACGGGAACAGGCCAAGGGCGCCGTGGGACAGGCGGGCTGCTCCGCGGCCCGGGCACGCTCA